TTTTTTTTCAAGAGAAATTTTTAATAGTATGATCGATCCATGGAAGGTAGTCCTCAACTTTGGTGTAGACATTTGCCCGGTGTGGATTGACAGTCGACGAATTGGCATCTCCAAATGACAAGATCCCACAAAGGTATTCTTCGGGTCCCTGCTGATGAGTCACACCAAAAGAAGAACGACGTTTTTTCATTAGACTCATCTGATGTGGGCTGCCCTTAGTATTGCTAGTGTATTTGGGTCCCATAGGGTCATAGTCGCAGAGCAAAGGTGCGCCAGAGACAGAGGGACGACCTTTTTGGCTGCTGGTTTCATTTCCGCCCACGTGACCCGCGCAAATTTGGTGTTTTTGCACTGGGAACAGAAGGCTGCAAATGACTGGAGTGAGCACTGGTACTGGGTATTGGACGAGGACTTGATGCTGTGGTTCCTTGTAGTGAGACTTGGACTCATTCAGAGCTGTCCAAGTGGACACTACTGCAGATCCTTCAACACAGAAAGGTGTGTCAGTCAACTTTCATGATTTATTCTATGACAAGCTAGTGTAGAAAAAATTAGGGAAATCATAACTGTCTACTGAAGCAAACTGTGTTTCTGAGTGACTCAGAATCACATGGACACAGTTCAAAATGTGAAGCACAAATAACTAAGTAATCAATAAAAAATGGTTTGAATGGTGGCACATGTTTGGAGCACCTGCCTGACATAAATAGTGATATTACAGTATTTACTTGAGTACCAGGTGCACCTTTTTTCTCAAATTTCAGAAAAAATGAAGGGGTGCGCGTCATAAGCAGGTACAAAATTTTCAAGAAGTTTTAGGAAGTTATGTGAGCATTATACTTAATTATGATGAAGAAATTTGGAACAAATGTACCAAAAAAACTTGCTCATACTGAAAAAGTTGAAAATTGATCAGATTTTTATTCAATTCAAGTCTAACATCAATTTTTTGTTGTGATTTTCAAAATTTTGTGGAATTAGATTTTTTTAAATTTTGGGTGCGCGTCTTACTCAGGGATAAGGTTTTAGCAAAATTTCCAACTCAAAAACCCCTGTGTGCACCTTACTCAACGGCGCATGGTACTTGAGTGAATACGGTATAATTTCCACACAAAATTGTCAGCTGAACTCTGATTTAATGCGCCTAGAAGCTCAATGCTTTAATGCCTCAAACTATAGAAATGAGCTTGAGAAACATTTAATATTATTGGAATTCAATGAAGAGACCATTTCTGAAATCATAGAGGATCAAGATAAAACATTGGACTCATTTGAGTTCTCATCAAAGATTCTCTCTAAATTGTTCATTCAACCAAAGCTTATCTGGGAATGGGCTGAAGACCTTGAGCTTTAAATTGGATTCAGTAACTGCTGCAATTGCTATAATTCTGGCTTACACTGCAATTCTTGTTACTGATATTTTGTTTTCAATGCCAGGGAAAGAAGGGGGTACACACATACACATCTGTTATGCAGTTGTACATTGTGAAATGTATTTTTTTTTATTTTGGTATCCATATGAAGCTTATTTCTAATGGGAAATGCATTTCCCANAAACGCTTTCATATTATTTACGTGCAAACTATTGACCTGAAGATTGTGTGAGTTTTTACAGCATTTTGTGAAAATTCCTGAATTTCAAAATTTACAATACTCTTAGTGCTTGTAAAAGAACAGAATATTCTTGATCTACTGTTTATTTTTGTAATGATTCTAATTTTTAATCGCACTGTCTGTGTTACACTCACTATGGTCAATCTGATTGTTTCACATACAGGGTGGTTCAAAAAACCCTGTACAGTATAAAGCTTGTTTTTTTGTCATCTGAATATTTTATTATAAAAAATTGTTACTAGCATAGCACATTTGTTCCATATAGGCCAACACTTCCTGGACATAAATTTCCTGCATTTCAGCAAGCTCTCAGTTTAAAATGTCCCAAAAGGCACCACAAAAATTTAACAGCTGATATGTTTAGATTTATATACTGTACTGTATAACTTTCTGAAAATGTGTGAATTTCAGAAATTTTGGATCTTTGATGCCAAATATTATTCACTTTTGAAGTATGATTCCCTGAAGATATAAATTTGACTGAATACTTGAAAAAGGCCTGATGTAAATTTTTGAGAGTTTCCAGTTTGGATCATATATGTTCTTTTTCAATCTATAACTTGATGGAAATTGTTCTCACCAAAACACAAATTTTCAACAATAAAAATTGGCTTTGCTGGGGGTTTTTCATTCATCTGAGGCATAAAGTATATGACTGCAATAATAGGACTATACACTCACCACAGATGAAGCCACTTTACAAGGGAAGCGGAAACAGTGAGCAGCAGTGAGAACCCACTGGGATGAAATGAAAGCCCCAGAGCAAATTATATTTTCTGGGCCAGAATCCTTTGAAGGAATTACCAGAGCAGCTTGATGAGGCACATGGTCTGAATAGCCATTCAAGGGATGCTTCAGTTGACCATCTGGAAGATAAATTACTGCATTGTAGGAGAAGCTCATGAACATTCTGATGATACCATTCATGGTCATTGTTTTTTCTTTTATTCTTATGGACTTCTGGGTTGCTTATTCATAACAATCCGCTCAAAGTGACTTGAGCAGTGAAACAAACGCACAATGGAATGCCTTTAGAAGTTGAATTTCAAGTGACTGGCAAAAACATTTGAGTTAGGGATGTTTTGAGTTGGGCTAAGAAGCTTTTTGTTTGTGGTAAAAAAGGATGAATTCCAGGATATTGTAATTCATGATTTTCTGGGCCCTAAACTGCATCTCTTGAATGAGTTGACAGATGCTGGACTTTGAGGCAAGGTTTGATTTGCCCAATTAGTCTTTCACTTCCTCTCAAAACACAATACATTTTAGTGTTTTCCTCTTTTCCGTGAATATAATATAGTACCGTATTTACTTGAGTACCATGCGCACCTTTTTTCCCAAATTTCAGAAGAAAAAAAGGGGTGCGCATCATAAGCAGGTACAAAATTTTCAAGAAGTTTTAGGAAGTTATGTTAGCATTATACTTCATTATAATGGAGAAATTTGGAACAAATATAACAAGATTCAAGAAGTTTTAGGAAGTGATGTTAACATTATACTTCATTATAATGGAGAAATTTGGAACAAATATAACAAGAAAACATTTTTGTATTGAAAAAGTTGAAAATTCATCAGATTTTTGGTCAATTCACGCCTAAAGTCACATTTTTTGTTTTTATTTTTGAAATCTTATGGTTTTAGATTCACTAAAAATTGGGGTGCACATCTTACTTGGGGATACGATTTTTGCGAAATTTTCAACTGAAAAACCCCTGTTTGCGCCTTACTCAAGGGCGCGTGGTACTCAAGCAAATACGGTAGTCAAAAAACCCCAACAATCGGATTTATTGATTTTTGATGGTAAGGAATTTGAGCTAGAGAGGTTTGAGGGTAAAGCCTTAAGTTGGGGAGGTTTTTAATGCATTGTTTCTGAGGAAAGTCAGATTGAGACTTGAAAAAAATTAATGCCCTCTATATACTCAGGGAGGTATTTGACATATTGGAGGGATTGGAGTCATGGAAGTTCAACTGCACCATGTTTACTTGGGTAACCTTCTACCAGGAATAGGACTTTTACTTTCATTTACTGCTGCATAACTTTTCAAAAAAGTAGTAATTTATGCATGAAACCTGCACCCCAGTTTTTGTTGGCTGAAAATCTCTTTTTCCAGAAAATACAGTGACAGTCAGGATCAAAAAAGCTTACAATAAAAAATAAGTGGAAAGAATGCAATCAGGATTTGTGCCAAGCAGAATTTCTTGCAATTGTTTTACCTGAAACTAACTTTCCACTCATACACTGATATGGTGGCTTTATGTTTATTTTCTTCCTTTTTTTGAAATTTTTTAACAACATAGCGCACACACCCCACTTTTCTCTCTTACTTTCCAGAAAGAAGGTGCATGTGGTACTTGCATAAATGCTGTACTGCAGTATGTAACAGACTTTTTATAAAATATCTTCTTACAGCAAAGTCTTAAGCCCTGAATATATAACTGGGCTCTAACTAAAATTCCACTACATTTTGAGACGCACATAAAATTTTGGCAATGCTAGATGGATCTAAGACATGAATTTTCAAAATGCCTTAATCAAGTGTTGGAAATATATTTGACATGCCTGATCTATCTGACACTGAATTATAAAATTCAGTAGCTATTTTCTGAATTGAAATCAATTCTTGCCAACCTGTGTTGAATTTCTGTACCTCTTTTGTTTTTGCTTTCCTGTACGCGAAATAACTTGGGATTTGCGATGATGGCCAGAAGATCATCCACAGCTTTGTCTATGATGGAGTCATACTTGGGCTTTTTTGATGAGATTTCCTTTCTTTCAGCAGCATCAGCATGACCTGTTCAAATTTAATTCAAGTAGCCTGCTTCATCAAAACTAGTTTTAATGAAGTACGATATACTGTACCTCGGATGAGTGAGTTATTCAACAAGAAAATAATGACAAGCGCTTGAAAACCGCCCGCATTCATTCTGAAATTCAATTTAAACAAAATTTCGTTTTCACGTAACAGAAATTCCTGGTTATTTTTATATTTAAAACTTGTAAATTCAGTGATTTTCTTGATTCGATATGAGCACTATAAATGAAGTTCCACTTCTTCCTGTGATGAGCATCCGGAAACCGAACCGTTCTCTGGAGTCTGGACTGCCAATATTTTCGCACGCCAATCTTTCCTTTGATGGAGATTTCAGATGTACAGTATATCCTTCCAAGCTCAGAAAATTCATATTTATTTTCATTGACCATGAACCCACAAGCCCTTTTTCTTTCACAAAAAGCTAATATATGTTCAATAGTGAATAGATAAGCAGAAGTGAACAGTTATGTCAACTGCATGCCACTTTTTTCTCCTTGTGGGTGTTGGGGATTTCCCCAAACAAAGAGATTTTATGAGTAAAATGCCACAATCAGCCTGGGAACCTCTTTATAGAGGTTCCAAGAAATTAATATTTATTTATGCCCCAAAAGGATCAAAAACTCAGCATCTTGATCCAGAGAAATATACACACACACACACACACACACACACACACACACACACAATTATTCACACAATTTCTCAGAAAATTGGTTCAAGCAGTGGAACCTAAAAATGGGAATAAGATTCTGAATGAGGATTTTTGGATGATAACAAGATTGTGAGGCTTTCAAGCATTACTGAGGAAGGGTTGCTTATTTAAACTTGATCTTGGTGAAGGTTGGGATTATTTGCTGGTAAATTGAATTAAGACAATGATGCTCATTGTCAAACAAGTTCCTGAGGATTTTAGTGGCAATAAGTTCTT